TAAACTTCCTTCTGTCCACAGCAGTGGAAACTCATTCCTTATGTTTTTTAAAAAGGGTAATTATTTTTTTTCTTTTTAAATGTAACAAGCAAAGACCTCCACGAAGATTGGCTACATCAAGACCTTGTAGGTCATTGACTTTGTGCATTAAGCCAGTCGGTAAATAGATGAGGAAGAGGACAGGGAGTGTTCCATTTTGCGAATGAGAGCACCACCATGCACATTTATTATTTTTCTTTTTTTGCATTGGAACCTATGGTGTGCAATGCTCTGGCTCTGCAGATTCTCCCTCCCATCCCTGTCCATACCTAGGTTTGGATATTCAGTAAGAGACATCACTGCACTTGTATCCCTCTGAGGAATACATGTCCCATTGCCATTGACTTGTATTTTTTCCTTTCAAAAATCCTGTCAAAATCTTAATGGGTTTTTTTTTTTTTTTTGAGGCAGCCTGTAGAGAAAGGTTGTGATGTGACCATGTTACACTCTGAATGTGTGCAACAAGAAACATAGTCTGAAAGGTAAACAAAGCATTTCAAGTGCAATGCTACCTTTCTGGAAAAAATGTTAGTGCAATGCTACCTTTCTGGAAAAAAATGTTGCGAAATATCAAACGTCTAAATTCTATTTTATTACCCATCTTGTTTCCTTAACCTTTACTGATTCTTGTTATCTTTTAAAAAAAAATTATAGATTGCTTGTATTTCTGAACTGTAGAGAGACTATATTTTTTTGTTTTTCAGATGGCATCAGAAAGAGAGGGTTCTGGAGCTGGAGAGCAAAAGGAAGAGCAAAAAGATAAACAGTAATTTAAAAGATGGAATAGAGGCTTTGGAGAGAAGTGCTTCATGGATATCCTGAGCATAAATAGTCTAGAAGTTAATTGTTCTACTGTGTTTTGGCAGTACTTTTATATAGTTTCCTTATGTTGATTTAAAATGTATGTCTACAGTTTTTGCTAAAAAAATTATCTGCACCTTGACGTGTTTTTGTTTTTTTTTTAATTTTCATTAAACATTTACTTTACCCATATTTCACCTGAACAATTTATACTGTTCTGTTTTCCATTTCAATCTATTACCTCATATTTGAGGCAATATAGAATAAAAAACAACCTACTTGCTAAACTGATTTGCAGTATCAATAAACTACTGGCTTGGCTATATTTTACGATCTCGGGTTTCTGAATTTTTATAAAAAGTAAGCTTTTCTCAACAAAGGTTTCGTTGAATGCTTCTCTTTCACCAAATGTTGCTAGGGGCTCCTAGAGAACTGAGCAGTGGTAGATTGATCTCCCACCTGATGGTGTCTGCATAGCTCTACCTCAAATGTTTAGCGGTCAATGGTGTGGATCTAGCAGAACCTTCCCTTTTAGTCAGGTATAAATAATAATGACGCTTAGTATTTTTTATTCCAGTGTTCATTGAAGGACACAGTACCCTATTGTTAAATTTATGAGTACTGTATACTGCTGTCTGCGGGAGATTTAGGCACTATGCAAAACGAGGGAACAGCTCCCTCTAGTGGTTTTATCCCTATTCCTGCTCTAGAGCCTAGTTGTAACTTGATGTCCTATGAAGGTAGAGACTTGGGGGGTTATTCACAAAAGGGTGAAGAGTTTGGAGAAGGCAGGAGAAGTGAACGATCTTGGTCAAAGTAGCTGATTTGGAAAAATTCTTCAATTCAGCTATGATGTCCTAGATCAGTGATGGCGAACCTTTTTGAACCAGAGTGCCCAAACTGCGACGCAAAATCAATGTATTTACCTCAAAGTGCCAGCACTGAAAATAAGTTTAGTACTGTATTGCAGTTCGGGCGCTCGGGTTTAAGAAACGTTCAACATCACTGCCTTAGGCCCCAATTCACACCAAGCGACATACCTTACAAGCGGGGCCGGGCTAGCCCGACTGTTCAGGGCGACGTCCCAGCAAACATCGTGCGACCTTCACCGGCGGGCTGCATTCAAAAATAGAAAAACGTAATGAAGATTGTGCGGCTCTCACGGGGGATCAGAACGTCCCGGATCGCCTCTGTAGTCTGGCCGGTCACAATCAGGCAGAGGTGGTGACCTCTAAAGAGGCAGATTAGACGGCCGCTCGCGGGGGCCTCCCGGGGTCCTAGCGAGGAGCAAGCTGCCTTCTAATCTGCCTATTTAGAGGCCGGTGCCTGATTGTGACTGGCCCGGATCGCGTACTGAGGCGGTCCGGGTCGGTCGGATCTATTTCCATTAGTAGTCCCTAAACCTGGGCTTGCGTGCCCTCGCTGGCACGCGTGCCATAGGTTTGCCGCCACTGTCCTAGATTGTTCACTTCTCATGCCTTTTCCAAACTCTTCACCGTTTTGTGAATAACTCTGTTGATCTTCAAACTTTTTTTCTACCAAGAAGCTGCTAGTAGTTTAATGCCACATGCTGTGAATTCTGTAAAATCTGTTCATAAGCTGATGGTAGTGTCTTCATGCATCAGATTTGATACTTCACTTAGGTGGCCTTGCTTACTAAACCTACAGCAGCCGTTCTGGGACTGTTTTGTAGTATATAGACTTGAGTGCATGTACAGTATGTTATCATGCTAGACCAGCAAATAAGGGAATTCACTTGTTCCTCTCCCCCCAACATTATTTAGGTTTACTAAATAATGATATAGATAATGTACCATGATTATCGTCCAAAAACATATATTTTCATTACCATATTCCATAGTAAATTTTAAATTAATTTAGTTATTTGTTCTAATGACTGTCCAGTTCATCAAAACGTCATCTGTGCCAAGCCAAAAAGTGGCACAGGAACATAGAAATTCATTTGCGAACCCTTGACGCTTCCGTCAAGCAAAACAAATGGCAAACGCACTTTACAGCATGGTGCACATGGAAGAGCCTAATACAGTACAAACAGCAAAAAGTTTTTCCAGCACACTCGCCAGCCAGCATGCAAAAAAACTTGTCTCACCGCTAAGGTTAAAAATGTGACGCTTCCATCCCCCCCAGGTTACAGGTTGGCGTTTTAGGGGGAGCACAACATGTTCCCATAGCCACATCCTACACCTGGAGGTTATGGGAGCCTCAACTCAAAAACATTACACATGTGTTTCAATAATTGCAAAAGACAATCTATAAAAAGTCACGCAGACTAATGTCATGTGGAATAGTTGAGTATAAGGCCTTGATGTCTATTCAAAATCTTGATGGGATCATTATCCATTAGATGGTTAAGTAATTCTATTGTATTTCTATCAATCTGCTAGCCTGTTATGTTAAAAGATTTAATTCCAGAGATGATAGGCCAACCTGGTGGTTTTGTTGAACATTTGTGGGTTTTTACTAGAGAATAGAATATTGGTGTTCATGTATTTTGAACATGTAAGAAGTCAAAGGTGTCCTGGTCTGTTAAACCCTGTCTTAAGCCATCGGTGTGTCTTTTTAACCCCTTCATGACCAAGGCCATTTTTCTTCTTTTTTTTTTTTTTACATGTTATCTGCATTTTAGGCCTGAAAATTACTTAAAACCCCCAAATATATATTTTCTTAAAGCCAAGACCCTATAGAATAAATTGCTGGCAGTTGCAAATTTTTATGTTGCATGATATTAGCTCAACTCCTTATAAATTTTAAAAACTTTAGTTTTTTTACTTTAATTGCTATCACATAGAGATATCGATCGGGGGGTGCTGGGGGGGCGTTTCCCGGCTTGTAGAAGCGATCTGGCGGCAGCTCAGCCAGAATCTTATACTTTAAAGCAGACAGTCGGCTTTACAGTAAACCAACTAAACCATAGTGTACATCTAACTAAACAAAATGGTTTAGTTAGATATACACTGAGTGGCTAGATTATTATGACCACCTGACGTTTGTAGGCAAATTTAGCTATAATTTCGCGCTGAAGTTGCGAGAGGGCCAGACCATTATAAATAGGGAAGCAGGTTGTTTACCACGACAGTAGAAGTGATTTTTTTCTGAAGATATGGGTAAACAATGCGATTTAACAGCCTTTGAACGTGGGATGATTGTTGGCGCTCTGAGCCGTGGAGCAAGTATCGGCAAAACAGCGGAATTCGTTAAATATTCAAGAGCAGCTGTTGTTAAAAGACTGGACTGTCAGATGAAAATCTGGGTCTGAACGTGCGAATTGTGGCAGTCAGCGACTAGTCAATGTTAGGGCAGAACGGAGAGTGGCAAGACTAGTACAAGACAACAGAAGGCCAACAGTGCATCAAATTACTGCAGATCGCCGTACACTGCATCGTATGGTATATCGAAGCCAAAGGCCTGTTAGAACTGCTGTCAGCAGTTAACAAGATAAAACGTCTCCAATTGGCACAGGAACACAAGGATTGGACAGTCGAGCATTGGAAAAAAGTCATGTGGTCCGATGAATCACGTTTCCAGTTGCATCATGCAGATGGCAGAGTGAGAATTTGGCGGGAACAGCATGAAAGCATGCACCCCACAACCCTTCAAGCTGGTGGGGGCAGTGTTATGGTTTGGGCCTTGTTTTCCTGGCATGATTTGGGCCCTTTAATTCGAGTGGGACAACGTCTGAATAGCACAACATACCAAAGTATTGTTGCTGATCAAGTTCATCCTATCATGTTGATGGCGTATCCCAATGGAGATGGCTTCTTCCACCAAGACAATGCGCCATGGCACTAGGCTTGTATTGTGCAGGAGGGGTTTCAAGAACATGAGGGAGACTTTACCTTGCTTAGGTGGCCCCCAGAATCACCACATCTCAATCCAATTGAGCATTTGTGGGACACAAGTTGAAAAAGCCATCAGGCAGCTGGTTCCACAACCATCAAATCTCGCAGAACTGGACAGTGCTATTCATCAGGCATGGTGTCAGATTGCTTGCATCACCTTTCAACATCTTGTGGAGTCAATGCCAAGAAGAATCGCCGCACAATTGAAGGCAAAAGGTGGCCCAATGAAGTACTGATGGGGTGGTCATAATAATCTGGCCACTCAGTGTAAATATGGCTAGTTAATTGCATACAGATGAATAGAAATCTATATTTTTTTTTTATAAATTCTTTATTGGCGCACAGGCAACATGTACAGGTAAAATATACATATATAGATAAGAGAGGAGGGGTGGGGACAGGTAACCTCATGGGGTGCCTAAGTCTCAAACCTCAAGACTCCATTATCCTGCGGTAGTCCGCAGTGGTGGTGTATTCTATCCAATAATACCAGGTAGCTGTGAACTTGGAGGAGGTGCCCTTAATAGAGCAGGTTAGATCTTCCATGTATCGAATATCGTTTATTTTGGAGAACCACATTTGAACCAAGGGAGGGGAAGCCTGTCTCCATAGAAGAGGTATACATGCCCTGGCTGCATTCAGTAAATGCACCAGGACCGAGTGGGAGTAGCTTTTCACTGGGAAATGGTGGAGAAGGAAGAACGCCGGGTCATCCGGGACGGTATGGTCAGTGAATTTTTTCATAATGAGGCGGACCTGTGTCCAGAAAGGTGTCAGGGATGGGCAGGACCAGAAGATGTGGAGCATGTCCGCAGGGGAGGAGCCGCAGCGCCAACAAATGTCCAGATTGTCCCGTGACATCTGATGGAGTCTATGAGGGGTCCGGTACCACCTCGTTAGGATTTTATATCCCAGTTCCTGGTATCTGTTGCAGATGGATGACTTCAGGGAGTAGCGTAACATCTGGGCACTTTCCTCCTGCGTGAATTGAATCCCCAACTCCCCCTCCCAGCGCTCAAGAAATCGGAGCGGGGTCTCCAGATCTGTAGCTATCACCAGCTGGTAGCATAGGGACAGTGTTTTAGCAATAGGTCCCTTGTCGGAACAGGTT